TGATACTATTACCTATGAAAAATTTGAAATCACTATAATTTTAGCTTTTTAATAGTAATAGGAATCTATAATAACAAATTCAACATGCCAGCATTGTTTAAGTATATGTATAGCCTATACATCCTTAAAACGAGCAGTGTAACTAGGCGGCTAGTAGAAAAATGTGATAGTTGAAAATGTATTCACTTTTCACAATGTGAACTTTTATATATTTATCTACATCGTGTAAAACATTCAACTTTGGTGTTTAATTCAAAATTAAGTGTTCTCTATTTATAATATACTCCAGATTGCATGATGCCTAGGTGCTCGTGCCAGGGACAAGAGTGTGCTACGGATCATCACAATGCATATAATGACGAATATGACTCGTACGTAACCTAGCATTAAATTCATGATTATAATGTAATTTATTATAATTTTAATAATAATGGTTTTATTTTGTGTGCATATAATTTAGCTCGCGCGATGCTACATGGGAAACAGCAGAAACGTGCTCTATTGGGTGTCATTCACCGTCGACACCAATAACGACCCCTCCTCGAAGATATCGCGATATCACACCTCCAGACGCGCCACTTAGGGATATTACACGACGTCCAGATCTAAGACCTGGAATGGCTATCGCTCGCCGTCGTTTGGATTGTATGTTAAATTTTATTTGCTCAAATATTTTCAAATAATTAAAAAAATATTTTATATACTTTTTGCTTCACATTACAATTCTTATAGTTGACTCCATATCAGCAATCGACTTCCCCGATGACGCGGAAGATTTAGGTACATTCAATTTATTTTACGTTTCAAGTAAATTATGATTGCTACTTAGAAACGTATTCTGGAATGAAAATGATGAATGGATTTAATCTAATCTTGAATTCCCATTACATATCGTTACCAATCCCTTGAGGATTATGGCGAACATCATCGGCGTAGGGCTATCCTACATTCTACTGCTATATATGATAGTGACCAGAGAAGACCACGGTTTGCACCACCTTCAGGAGAAATACCACCCAGGATGACAAGACGGACAGTATGCGGAAAATGCTTAAGGGTAGGTGTTTATATTGATACAGGGGATGGTACAGGACAACTAATGTTATTTTTTGTAAATCTTCGACAGATGTGATAAGAACGATGAAGTCAAATTACTAGTAAAATTAAGCTCACATCTGCAAATGCGCTGCCAGTAAATCATGACGAACACTTTGAGGACAAAGAGGACTTTATATGCCAGAATATAGGAAAATTGATTTTCATCAAAGGTATTATAGAATTTAATGGAACAATATTTAAGTAAAAATAATAGTGACTTGAACATTATTTTTACATACATGATAAAGATAGAAAATGTGGACTGAATATACGATTGACTGTGCTTGAAACATGTTTAATGCACAGATTCTGTGATAGTAGAGATAAGTGGCAGGATGATGGTTGATCACTGTTTGTATGACGATGTTCTTAATATGGGTCGATGAACTTCAAAGTGATCGTACAAGTACTTCGCAAACACTCCTATCGACTGATTTCAATTAGGACTCCATCTGTTCTCTTTTATGAACAAACATGGGTCCTCATATTTGTTACTTTCCAGATTTTAGGCTAGTGTCAAAAATAAATCTGTTATCATACTATCTACCATATGGATGATCGACAATCTAATAAAAAATAATCACGTGTAAAAATAATCGTGCTATTTTTTATAGTACATAAATTCTCATGTCTAACTATATGTATTTAATTCATGAACTTGTAAACAAATTATTGGAGGAAATATTTATCATTTATAAAGATAGCGAATCATTGCCAATATTCTAGAATTAGTACATTTGAGAATTCGTTTCTCAAGCAGAAGACGTGTAATGTGAACAAATTTTAAACTGAAACAGGGAACGAAAGCAAGGAAGATAGGTAGCGGGAAATTTACGTAATGCAACGATCCGTCCGGGTGGTCTCAAAAGTCAGACGAGGTTCTCGTCATCTTGGCAATCGTTCCAACGTGGAGAAAACAAAAAGGGACGAGGGGAATTTTCGAGGACGACTCCCGGCAATGTTGAGCCGGTCCACGAACCAAATTAACGGTACCGGAAGTATGAAGCAACACGCGCGCACGGCTTCATATTATGCATGCGAGGAGAACATAAAGCATCTTTAACCACCCACAAGCGCTTCCTAAAACGTTTCTCTTTCGTCCCCATGCCAACATGGTCATAGCATTTTGTTCATCGTGTCCATGGACGTAATCTACATCAAATATTTCAGATGAATTCTTTTAAAAGTATGTTGTGTGAATGTGCAACATTCCTCTCCATCATATCAGAATCGAACTGGCAAAGTGCTACTAATAACATTTATGCACTAGCAATAATAATCACAAAAATTGAAAAACACTGCCTTAGAAGATCAACGTCTGGATATTTTATATTAATATGTATTCGTGTCAATATTCACAAACTTAACACAGAATTAAATACACATTCGGATA